TTACTCAAAGACACTTATACATTCTTTGAATTGTATATGGTGTCAGAAACTTTCCACGTGAGGCCATCCTAAACGTACATGATATCGTGAACTACATAGCATTTGCGAAACTTCTTTTCTTTATAACTTTTTAATAAACAACGAGCGCCGGCTAAATCCTTCTGAGCGTTACTCAGGAGGGTAACCTTGACAACATATGTCAAGCCCAAGGTTATTGGAGGTGGGTGTGTTAATCTAAATAATTACCCTCGTTTCTTTTTTAATTTATTGAAATCACAATTTCCACGAGATCACACGATTGTAGTCCTTTCTTCTCCCAACGAGAAGTGACTCGTCAATCGATGCTGTTGAATCGACATCGTTTCGACGAATCATTTCTCACTGGGGTTGTTGGATAAAGTTCTAAGGGTAATAATAAATTTGTTTGCACATAAACGATTACTCGATCGAGACAGAAAAATGAAAATAAATTTCATTCTTCGAATAATAGATTTAATAATAGAGGAGAGTCCCCTATTATGAGAAAGGCTTCTAACATGAAATCGCGAGGTGTCTGCTAAATTAATAGGAATCATCTGTTGATTTCATTATAAATTTACTGCCTCTGGAGTGAAATCCGTTTAGCCGATAATTCATTGTTAGATCGTGCGTGTAATTGTTGCGAAAAAGATTCGTGAAATTTGATGTTGAAATCTTCGCTATCCGATCCGCGATCCGCAATGTGTGACACGGGCTTTAGGCTAGCTACGACGAATCTACGAAACGAAGCGTCAAATGTGCCGCAACGGCCGGACTCGTCGAAATCAATTTGTAAACAGAATATTTGATGTATATTTCGTAAAGCATTTCGTAACATAGAAATCGTTTGGCTTTGGTATTTGTTTTCGTAAACAAGGTCACGCGGCGCGCCGTGTTGTCACTCGCGCGGCGAGATTTGAGCCGGCAGGTAGAGGCCGGGATACGCTCCGAGTGTCGCCGCGTATTATCTGCCGAAGCGCGACGAGTGCTGGACGGACGATACCAAGCTTTAGCATCATTACGATTAGCTTGCTCGATTAATTGACCACCGCAATTAACAACCGTACGCATACTGGCTGGCTATCGAGGTGAGTATCTCGCGCGATTTGTCCATCCGCGTAATTGCAGCGAATGGAAATTATTACTTTACTCGCGGTATTTGTGCGAACGACATAATTAATGATTCCTTCAACGCTTAGATCCGAAGGTATCTCTCGCATCGCGCGCCTTGAATTTTTCGCCGAGATAAACGTAATTAGCTCGTTACTTTCAGATCGCGAGCGCGGAATGATAGACGAATCGCCAGATCGGGCGATTCGAGCGAAGGCCTGTGTCCACGACGCTAGAACTTGGTCCAAGTCTTAGTTTCGAGAAACGTGTAGCGAATCAACTTGCAGCTTTTATGGAATAACTGCAAATTGATTGGCTACACATTTCTCGAAACTGAAACTTGGACCAAGTTCTAGCATCGTGGACACAGGCCCTAACAGAGAGCCGCGATGTAGCGATTATTTATTGACAATACGTGTATTTTTCGCTGGACTTAAACGTTTGTAATACGTTACGCTCTGCTGAATTTCGATTGCATATCTCGGACGATTCTTAATTAGACTTAATTGGTCATTTTATTTCATTAGTCACTTTATCAACTTTACTTTCGGTTTTTTGCAAGCGGAGTGTCGCGTGTATGAAACAGGTTGGCCTCGAGTCGAACGGAGGGACGCACTTAATTAATAAATACAATCGTAATTAAGTCAGCATTTTAATATGTACCGTTGATATTTGTTTAAAGACCTCCATGAAATTTTATTCTTTTCATTAGCTTGAGTGGAAGAGCGTTTCAAGCGAATGCTAGAGCTTTGTATCTTTTTTTTTTCGTGCTGTTCTTCCGTCGCAACTATCCGTCGCGTACTATGGTAAAGTACGCGTCGCGTATGTGATTAACGTCGGAAGTGCCGTGCGATTATCCTATTTTAGTGATTAATATGCGCGATCATAATGAACGTGTTTCAGAGAATGTGTTGTGTGAATGCGACGAAGGAATCTGAGAGGAAGTGCCGAGCGACAGCGAAGCAACCGCGAAGTGAGTAAACTATTTTACATTTTATTTGCTTCATCCGCGGAATCAGCCGGTCTGTGTGCGAGCAACAATTATTCCTTTTGTATATTAACTGTTAAAGTCTATTTTTAAGCCTCCAAAGGGGTCGCTAAACACCGAAAAAAGATCTTATCGCGCGATCCATTCGCCTACTTTCTTTTATAACGTAAGAAATAGAAGAAAGTTCCCTATTATGAGATAGGCTCCTTATATGAGACAAAGGAGTTTCTGCAAAATTAATAGGCGTCGTCTGTTGGTTCCACCATGAATTTATTGCCCTTGGAGCGAAATTTGTTTAGTGGAAAATTAATTGTTCGATCGTGTAATCGTTGCGAAAAAAGATTTGTGATTGAATTTGGACGTTGAAAACCTACTACCTCATATTAAAATCCTATCTCATAATAGAGGACTTTCCCCTATATTATTATCTTTATTAATCAAATGTCATCACGAATGGAATTACTTACTCCATCCGAATTAAATATCCCACATATGAAAGTCCCAAGTCGGAAATATAAAAGGATCGTGAGAAAACCTGTCCGTTTTCTAAAGGTCAATTATTTTCGAGGCTATTAACGCAATTTACATATTTCTGTTTTATGGTTTAACGTAGTCGCAACTCCGCTGTTGCGCGTCGCATTGCGCCGGTGAGCGATGCATTGTTTTTTGTTGTATTTCCTCTATATCACTTGACGAGAAACAAAGAAGCGTTATTAATGCAAGATCCAATAATTACCTTCTCACGTGCGCAATATTGCGAAGTGTTTTACATACGTACAATGCTTTAATGATGTTTCACGAAAGCAGTCGGTTCGCTTTTTACAGCCAGCTAAGTGTACTGTCAGTTAATTTCTAATCAAATGACTATCAATCTGGCGGTGTGTCGAGATATGAGACTTTATTCTGCGTAACTCATTCGACACGCTTTTTTTTACATAAGATCCAACGACTATAAATACAGGTCTAAATGATTGATCGAATCGCTTACTATTACTTACTGTAAAACACTACGCTTATATTATTTACTATTTAATTTTTTACCGGCTTTGTTTCGATGGTCAAGCGTTGCAAAACAAAAAACGTGATCGCACAGATTAGCTACGTACGAAATATTGTATTGTTACTCAGGAAATTAAAGAAAATTGCTCTGAAGAAACAAAATAATAAGTGGTATGTAGCTTTTTAAAAACGACCTACACTGGCGAATATTTTTATTTCAAAAGCGACGTTTCGGTCCCAAATTTGGACCCTTTTCAAGTAATTTGTTCACACAATTGTTAATGATCTCATATCGTTCGTATGGCCAATATCATTAAGTTAGTGAGATATTAATAAAAAAATGATTGCACTTTTTGGTTGAAGAATGCAAAGTCAATTGAAGTTGCAGAGATGTGTGTTGGACGAGATACCAGATTGAATTGCTATCTTCAAAGATGCTCAACACAAGTTAAAAAAACGTCGTTTTTTTTTTAATAAAAACATTGCCCAGTGTAGGTCATTTTTAGAAACTACATATCGTTGGTTTTAAACTACTAGCGATATTAAATCTGTTTGCGAGTTAATAAGTGGTACTAGAATGGACTTTTCGACTACGTTTTGTATCCCTCGTGTAATAAAATTAACTTTTTATTCATTATTCCGGATCAATATACTGCGCCGATGATAAAAAATTGTGTTTAGTCCGTCATTGGAAGAAGCGATTTTGAGAGCCGACGACAAGTCGAGAGAGCAGAATCGATCGGGCTGGCAATGTAAATGAAATGATTGTTAAAATTCTAAAGCGCTCTCTTCATACGCGGGTCCTATACACTTTGTTCAGAGGCATCTCGCGTGGGTAAGGAGAGCGGATGCGCGTATCGAGCGATCGATCGATTGTAAGTTTTACGGGCCAGAAGCGTGGCCATTAAAATGACGCCATTAACGCGGTCATATTGAAACGGTCCCGGCCGCGTCGATGATGATTTGTCGCCGCGAGGGCAACCATGCGAGCGACAAATCTCGCTCGTGTGGCACATTGACGAGCATCGATAATGCGATACCCGATAATGACGGAGTACCGCCGATTATATCGGCCTCGTTAACGCACCTGCGTAATGTCCACCCTTGAAATTGATGCGCGAGTTAAGATGGTCGATTAATAACAAATTGCGGATGATGTCGCTTTAATGCTTGTCCGCAAAACTCTTCGCCTGCGGCGAGCCAGCCAGCCAGCCCGTCGCACGTACACACGCGACAACTGTACTTTTTAACGAGACGCGTTGCGTGAGAAACGATACAGGGGAAATGATCTCCGAAAGATGTCGCGATAATTTAAAATAATTAACTACGAGGAAAAAGATAATTACGTTGATTGCTCGCCGTATGAAATACCGGACAAAGATTCTCGCGTTAATATTATAAATGCGGAGATATATAATAATGTGGAGAAAGACGTCGCGATGGAGGAAAGCGACGTTCGTTATAATAAGAGAAATGAGAACGACGCTGTCCGGTCTCCCCCGCGAGGCCGCCGTTCGTGACGATCGCTTTATTAAATAAAAATCCGCGCGGCCGCGAGGAAAACGCGCGCGGCGGGCTCGAACTACGATCGGGGAGCGTGCGCTCACGCATTTGCGTGTTCGCACCGAGAGATTATGCTCGTGAAACCGAGCCACCCCCTTTCCCTTCTTTACCACGTTCACTTTCCTGCTCCGCGAGTCGACGGACTGGTTTCGTCTTAATCTTCTTCGACAAATCTCTCGCGCTCTCCTTCTCTCCTTCCACGGATAAAAGAAGGAGCGTGATACCGCGCGAGGAATGCCTCGGCCGCGCAATTTTAATGCACGACTTGCGTTTATGCATAGCGAAACACGTGCAGTCGTCACACGTGCAATTACTATAATACTCTGAATACATCGGAATGAGATACACCGTAATGCTTTCAATACGGAACGTAGGTATTCAGTTATCTTACGTTCGATGAGAGCTTAAGTTTTTTTAAACTTTAAGTTTAGAGCTTCAAAAATTGTTTGCGTCGCGCTTATGAATCTTTAAAACATGATTTCAGCAAGCAGAATTTAATTTTAAATTTGTTTTAATTAATGTGAACATTATTTATAATGAATAGAATTCTTTAGAACAAGTAATTCGTCGCAGGTTCTCTAAACTTCAAGTTTAGAGTTAAAAAATTTCTTACGTCGCGCTTATGAATTTTTAAAACACGATTTAAGTAAGCAGAATTTAATTTTAAATTTGTTTTAATAATGTGAACATTATTTATAATGAATAGAATTCTTTATAACAAGTAATTCGTCGCAAGTGCTCTAAAGTTCAGGGTTAAAAAAAATTCTTACGTCGCGCTTATAAATTTTTAAAACATAATTTAAGTGAGCAGAAGTTAATTTTAAATTTGTTTCAATATTGTGAACATTGTTTGTAATGACGAATGAATAATACCCTTTATGAGACGCAACTGTTAATAAAATGCAATAATTTAAACGTCTAATGTCGCTCGATATACATAGAAAGGTTGATGCGAAAATACTTAGAATGACTGGACAGTCGATAATTGGATTGGATATCGTTTCTCGTCCCGATGCCTCGGGCTGCCACATAAAAATTAGCGATTTCCTTATCGCGCCACGTAACGCGCTATTATTTTATCCTATGATTTCGCGCGCCGTATTGATCGGGTGAATAATAATTTAGCGTTTAAAAGAGTGCACGCGTAATTATGATGTATGATATGCATGTTATTGCCACTTGTCATTCATAAAATTCATTTTATATTCCGTCACATGTCATCTACAAAATTTATGTCAGCGATGCGATATTGCATAATTAGCCGTAATTACGTTATTACGCGTAATCCGCTGCACATAATGGTATTGATAATATAATGCTGCAAGATTACATTGTTAACGTAAATAACGTTTTGTCGAACCGCCTAATTATCTATGCAACGCGCCGAGCTGAATTTTTGCCCTACGCGGCGCGTAGCGAGCCGCGGACCGTTCGCGACCTAGTGAAACCCTGACCCACGAGGATTCGCGGCCCGTCGAGACACCGGGTCGAGTCGGCCGGGAGGCAATTTCGCGCGCTTCCGCCTTCGCGCGGGCTAAATTAAAAACACCACAATCGCGTCCCTAAATGTAAGGCCGCACAGTGACTGACGTCAACCGTTTAAGCGGCGATGTTTGCTCTTCCTGGGCATCCACTTAGGCGAGAGATCGCTTAAAAGGGCATAAAACTGCCGCGCGCTCGCGAAAGTCGCCCCGGAGCGTAATGCGTGGCTCTTTACACGCACATGCGTTACTCACCGGATGGTTACGGCGCGGAGGAGAAGAGAGGCGAGACGGGGCGAGGTGCGGTAGACCGGAAGTGGGAGCAATTAACGATATAAGTGGTTCGCTGGTCTCGGCGCGAGATAAGATCGGTTAACTCGAGTCTAGCTGCTTTTCTTGCGACCGCACGATGGGAAGATAACAAGCTCGAAAGAGGCAGGTGCCTTTTCGACACATTATACGTTCTTGCTCTCGTCCCGATCGTCCTTTTTCCTCCTCGCTGCCTCTCTCCTCGTAGCCTCTCTTCGCCTCGCACGTTTTCTGTACGCGCGCGCGCGACCCGCGTTATCTACGAAATAACTTTATTTACGCGCCCCGGCTCGTGCATTTGCATTTTATCAAACGGCGTGATAATCATGCCGGAGGACCCGCGGCCATTTTTCGAACGAACAGCCGGCTTTTAATATTAAGCAGGGCGCCGCGTAATTGGGATCGCGTGTGGTCGTACCGATGATCGATCTGCGCCAACACTCGATCCGATCGATCATATTTATTCATGCACGAATTATTTAGCGCGTTACAATATTCGTCCGCCCGGCGTAATTTATAGGCATGTGATACAATCGTTTATCGAAGCTGTTAACATCGTTAATTTCTTCATTACGAAAGCGATGATGGACATTTTCACGGGGTTTTCTCTCGCGTTAAAATAAGACTCTGCGG